AAAAGATTTAAAAAAATCAAGCAACCAAATACACATACAACAGACGCAATGAAACATGCTAATGATGTGGCCACTCTCATCCCCCACAGCCATTCCAATTTCAAAATAAAACCAAAAGGAATGAATAAAGCCAGTAACTAGTAGTGACCCAGGGCTTCATCTTGGCTTAGCCCTCCTATGAGCCTCTGGGAGCTGTGACTTCCTCCTCTGTGAAAAGGGGGCAGTGACAAGCAGGCACAGTACCAATGGTCAGCAACGGCAGGCCATGCTGTGGAACAGAGGGTGCATGTGGAGTCGGGCGGGTGAGGGCGAGGGGTGGGCGAGGGCGGGACGGGGGAGCAGAGACCTCCTGGGAATTGGCATTTGGGCTGCAGGAAGGCTTCCGGGTAGAGGCAGTTTCTTAACCACTGTGAGAATTGAAGGCTAAGGGGCCTGTGGGCAGGGGTAGGAAGGAATTTCTGCAGAGGACGCGGCTGTGTAACCTGTTGTCCTAACCCTGCACCTGCTGCGTATGACGAGCCCCTGCAGCCTGGCCAGAATGCCGTGGCCTCATCACGAGGAGTCCTGGTTGTCTCTGCCCTTCTAGGAAAGCTGAGTGCCAGTGACCTTGAAATCTTATTTACCTTCAAGAAGAGAAGTCCCAGGTACTCTGTAGCCAGGGAAACAAGTACACAGGAATCAAGAAATGGAGTCGAAGAAACTCGAAATATGGTTACGTAGAAGCCTCAGTCCTAGAACTACATATTCATGGTCCTGTAAGATGGAAGACCTCAGGAGGAAAAAGGACCACAGGAGCCCTAATTTGCAGGAAACTATCACTGGCTCAGACAAGCTATGCAGGTGAGCAACTGTACACTTTCCCAGCCCTCCTTCCTCACGAGGAGACAAAAGAATCACATCACAGAAAGGGAGAGGATCTGGGGTCTGACTGCTGCCCAGGCTCCCCCCAGAGTGTAAAGTGAATCAGCATGGGGGACAGGTGTGAAGCTGGTACATGATGAAGATCCACAGAGCTTTGTATGGGGAACACAGTAGTTGCTTAATAAAGGATAGATGCATAGGTGGGTGGACAGGGAGTGGGTGGGTGGATAGACACATGGATGGATGGATGGATGGATGGATGGATGGATGGATGGATGGATGGATGGATGGATGGATGGAT